CAACCCCCCCCCCCACCCCACTTTGTTTGCCCCTAGTTGCCCTTCAGATGTGACCTTTGCCCTTCGACTTAGTAAATAATTAAATCAAATAAATAGAGAGATATTTTTTTCTCTCAGGTCACATGGTCTGTTCAGAGTTCGCTGTGTTCTCTGTGCAAATATACAAGACATAAAACTACAAAGGGAAAAAAAATACTACATACAAATATCTATATTAACAATACTACAGTATATGCTATACCGCACATTATTGTACATTGTACCAGTATATTGTGTTGTGTATTTTTTAACATACAGTATTTTGCGGTATTACAGGTTACACCTGCGCTCTGCAGAAGGACATCCTCTACCAGGGACGGATGTTCGTCTCAGACCACTGGATCTGCTTCCACTCAAAGGTGTTTGGCAAGGACACAAAGGTAGGCAGCGACGGAGTCCACTGTGGCCCCTGAGCGTTCAACTCAGCGTGCATATTCCCCTGTCCAAGCTAGGCTATGCTAGGCTAGGCTAGGCTAAGATCAGATAAATCGCAAATAGCCAAATTAAGCACAGATAAGCTAAGGCAGGGGTGTCAAACATAGGGCCCGTGGGCCAAAACTGGCCCGCTAGAGTGTTCCATATGGCCCACTTGATGAATTTTGAAAATTCAAAAAAATACAAACAAATACAAAAACTTAAATAATAACAATAATATTTAAAATCTAATATACTGTAAATATATTAAAATGAATCCCATTTCCTTCTGTACCACCATCGGTATGCGAACCATAGATTTGATGGTCTCTAACTGTATGTCCTGGTGTTTGTCCCTCCCAGATTGCCATCCCAGTAGTGTCCGTCATTCAGATCAAGAAAACCAAAACCGCAATCCTGGTGCCAAACGCTCTGGTCATCGCCACGGAAAATGACAGGGTGAGAGAGCGACCCCTCCCGCCCTCCCGACTTCCTTCGCCCCCTCTGGGGTTTTAAAAAACATTCTCCTTAAATCATTCATGTTGTTGTCTTTCTGTCACAGTACGTATTCGTGTCCCTGCTGGCCAGAGACAACACCTACAAAGTCCTGATGTCAGTCTGCCTCCACCTGGAGGTAAGTTCAAGTAGTACATGTGGAAATTTCCAGAAAACTTGTTTTCCAATCACAGGGTTGGACGATATGGACTAAAAGTAATATCTCGATATTTTTCGTCATTTTAACGCTTTGTCCCTAGCTTTATCGCGTTTACAAATATTTCAATATATACTACAATATGGCAATATCGAATCACAAACTAATGGAATACGTAACATATATTCTCCACAGGAGAAGAGTCCCTGCAGCAGTCCGATTCCATCCTCCGCAGAAAGCAGTTTCCGAGGTCAGAGGTCACCGCTAGGCCCTTGCTTTCCTATGGTAGGTCAACATTCACCCAGTGAGATTGGGACCGCAGCTAACTCAGCTAACAGCTAACTCAGCTAACAGCTAACTAGCTAATGTGTGTGCGTGTGCGTGCGTAGAGTTTTCCAGGTGACCTCAGTGACCTGGACGGAGCCGTGAGGCAGAGGAGGCAGGAGTTGGAGGAGAGCAGCAGCTCCGACTCTCAAACGCCCGACTACGAGAAGCTAGCAGGTCCGGCTACGTTCATTTAGCAAAGACGTCATTAATGGACAAAAATGAATCAACGAGGGGGAATATTCTAAAATGACAATTATTTAGAAGTTGATATTTGTTAGGACACATTACATTAACGCAAAGATTCCCAAAGTGGGGTGTGTGGCCCTCAGAGGGGGTGCAGGGTCAATGCAGGGGGGTCATGGTGATTTATTTTTATGACTAATTAACTAATTAAGTTGAGACTAATTAATCAAAGGAGACATCAATGGAAGCTCCTATAAAACACGCCCGTTTCCCGCTGCCGCAGAATTCCCTGTGGCGCCATTCCTAGAAGTGTTGAACCACATGGACCGAGTGGCCTCTCCTACACATCTGGTGAACAACAACAACAACCAGCAACAAAAGCACCAGACCAACCAGCAGACACTGGACCAGAACCAGAATGAGACCAAATCTGCAGGTAACAACAACAGCAACTTTCTTCAGCAACTGTGTTTAAAGACGGATTTCTTTGAAGAACGGTAGTGAGACCTGCTATGATGGATGGTTTAGAGACAATGTTTCCCAAATTTTTTTTTTCCGGGGGACCCATATTTTAAAAGTCGCAAACCTTCGCGACCCAAGTCGATAGACGTTATTCGTAAACTCCTGGGAAACATGATGCGAGACAACCCCCCAAAAAAATAAAAATCTCTGGTTGGTGACCCAGAAAAAAAGAGGAAGACCTCATAGACCAGGAATGTCAAACTCAAAAAATTTCATTAAGCGGGCCGGATTGAACCTCCTAGTGGGCCGGTTTTGGCCCGTGAGCCGTATGTTTGACACCCTTAGTTTTAAGGATGTAGTGTTGGAGGAGTTGGAGATGGTCGGAGGGAGGGTAGAAACCAAACGATAGTGTGAGATGGACGTCGTGTCCGTAGACGTTTTGACTTTTCCGTCTGTTTTTCCCGTCACAGACTCCGAGGAAGTGATCGACAACAGGATCCTCAGAACAGTTTCCCTCAACACGTTGCTGTTCGTCTACATGGTCCTGTAGGTTCACGGACACCGGTCACGTTTCTGATCCATTGACCTCCATTATTGACACTGTGTCTGTGTGTGTCTGTCCTCAGAGTGTGCGTCCTGGTCTTGTCTTCTTGTTACCTTGCCTTCAAGATCGTGTCTTTGGAGGAGACTCTGTCCACACTGGGCTCCGTCGTAGAGTTCACCCACCACAGAGAGTGAGTCCATGACCTGGAAACGGGTCCTTATGGTCCTGGAAAACACACAACACAAAACAAAATTTACAATTTATGTCAAAAATCATTGGACCAACAATCCAACGACATTTGGTCCGCAGACCTCCTGTTGAAAAACCTTTCGTTCAAACGTACAAACCGTTGTCTCGTCAATCAGATGTTGTATCTCGCTGATGTTGTCTTTTTCCCGCCCAGGAGTGACTTCCTGCGGAGCAACTCCGACCTGAACACAAAGTTTTTCTCCGAACTCCTGACCATCAACCTGATGAAGCTGGAGAAGGTCAGTGGTTCTGGTCAAGTCTACGTCAGGCATGGGCAAACTAAGGTCCGAGGGCCAGATTTTGGCCAGGCAAAATTTGTCCAAATTATATTTTTCCCTGCAATTCCCGCATTTCACCAATAGATGGCGTAGCAGACGCTAAAAGCGTTTTCAGCATTTTTAGCCTCTATGCACGACTTTTATACATCATTTATCTTTGTTCTCACGAACACCAAAAGTTTTCCCACGCCTCGCTGTATGTCCATAGTTTCCACAGTGAAACTAGACGCTTGTTGCTGTTAATGAAACATTTAGAGTCAGCGATCAGTTCACAGAGAAGCAACAATGTCGCCTGTAAGAAGATCTCAGCGCTAGGCCATCATGACGTCAGTGCGACATAATGATATGTCTCCCACCCCCCACATACTCCCCCACGCACACATACAATCAGCGCCCACTAGTGGGCCGTGAGAGACTATAAGGATAATGCAGAAATGATCCAATTTCTGCTAAAAGTGACAGGCAGAACAATTGAATACTCATCCACTAGGTGGCAGCAGATGGTTATGCAAAGTAAAAAAAGGAGAATCAGCGCCTTTGAAGAATCGTCTTTCTTCAATTCCTGCGAGTATATCAGAGTTGTCTTCAACTAAACAGGCTAAGATTTTAGTAAATTAAAACTAGACGATTATTTTATTTCATTACGCAAACGTTTTGTGAGATTTTTGTTCGGTGGTGTGGCGTGTGTTTTGCTATTGGAAAATACGTGTCGTGGCTCAAAATAAGTTTGGAAATCACAGATATATACTGTACTGTACTCAGTTCAACAGTGACTCACCTCGCACGTTGTCTCCCCCTGCAGGTGCAGAAGAATCTTCAGAGGCTGTTGGATGAAGCGGCCTGAAAGTGAACTAAAAACCAGAGTGTAAATATCCTGTAAATACATGTCGTGGGTGCGTGAGCAGATGTTACAAATATACTGTTTTTGGAAAACTGTGACTGAAGAAGAAGAAACTTCGTAAAGAACGACTTATTCGAATGTCGACTTTTGTCCTACCGTGGGAAAAATTGCGTGATTTTTTTCAGCGAGAATTTACGTTTTGGATTTACAGTGGAGTTTTGTAGCAACTGTTGCTAATGAATTGAAGCGGACGGGGGCTCCATAGAGGGCGCTGAAGAGCAATTTGGGAAGCAGGGACTTATTCGACTGTTACAACAGACCAGCATCACTGTGATTCTGTAAATACTGAATTATCCACAGATACACACTAGGAAATGTTGTTTTATTTTTGTCCGAGAATTTAAAAAAATGCGCTGAAGTACTAACTCAAAGTATGTGTACTTTTACATTTTCCAGGTACAAACACAGTATTTTCAAACCTGTCTGTGATTCTCTTCAAGATTAAAAAAAATTACTTATATAATAATAACAATAATAATTGAAGCCAATGGCCAATTTTTTTTATCCTATAATTTTCTAAGTGAATTGTGTCAGAGGTCCTGCAGTTTCCGTGTTCGTCACTGGGTGTCAGTGTACAGTGAAAAAAAAATTCTCCTGATTTTTTTTTTTACCGACATGGTACAAACTTATTAATAGTAGTTCGCAAAAAACTTTTTTTTAGATATTCGTTTCCAAGGGAATTTTTAATGAAATAATTAATAATAATAATAATAATAATAATAATAATAATAATTTTTAATGAAGTTTGGAATTTGTTTGAGAGCATTTTAGATTCCACCGTTATTTTTAATTTTTTTTTAAATTTAATTTCCATTCAAATGTATCTAAAGACATTTTTAAAAGTAAACCTTGAACTCCATCATCGACAGCGTCCACTCACTGCGACTGTCGTACTTCAGTCCGACTCTTCACTGAAGGTGGACATTGTTAGACCGGTTCCTCTCGTCCTCTCATTGTTTTCATTGTCCACTGTTTCGCTCCCAGCATGGACAGTTGGACGGAGACAGTGGCCGTTGTTCACAGTATGATAATGAAGCACGCACGCACGCACGTGCACACAAGCACGCGTACTGCTGTGTGGGTCATGTGAGCATCCCACATAGACGTAAAACAGTCAGGATTTATAAGAAAAAAATTTTTTTTAAAAATCTACAAAGGCTAGTGTTAGCCGCGACTGACGCTAAAGAAGCTAATTGTTTACACAGAGAAAAAACATTTCCTGGACTCAAATGCACATTTTGTATTGGCTACTGCCCTGCGTGAGACATTTACTGAACTTGGTAAATTCCTAAACTCTTAAACACCATATTAACGTAACAAAAAAACGTTTGTTGCGTCAGTGTTTCCTGAACTTTTTTTCTGGGAGACCCATATTTTAAAAGTCAATAGACATTATTTGGAAACTCCTGGGTAACATGATACGAGACGACCCCCCCCCCCCCCAAAAAAAAAAATCTCTTGCGACCTGAGGGTCGCCACCCAGTTTTTGGGAAACAACGCGTAAAAAAATACCAGGGACACAAAGACGAAAACGAACTGATCTGAAGTTTGAAAAAAAAAGTGTCACATCAAATCAGATGCGTCATGGGGCGCGAGCCAAGGTTGGACACAGTATGATTCCTCATCATCCTCCACCTCCTGGTCCCTGACACGCTGGGATGTCTCTGGATTTCTGAGGGTGGGAGAACAAAAGTGATAACAATAAAGCGTTTGAGTGTGTGAGGAGAGGGGGGGTAAGCAGGGAGGGATGGTTGCCCATTACGCACGAGGGTTTGCTCCACGTCCTGGCGCATCCAGTACCAGCAGCTTGGCACAGGGCAGCAGTGGACTAGCTGACGGTCAGTCTCTCTCCTCTCCTCTCTCGTGCTCCTCTGTGACTCCTCTCTGGACCTCCTGCTCCTCCATGGCCCTCCTCTCCACACTGTAACCGTCCAGCTGCAGTGACCACAGTGATTCTCCCGGGACCCTGGCCGACATGTCGGGTCAGAAACCCTCTCTGCGGGGCGGCGGCTCATCGCAGAGCCGCTTCCAGGTGGATGTCGTGACCGAAGCCGTGGCCACACCGGCCGCCGGCGACGCGTCCAAACCTGCGCCCGATGAGTCCAAAGGTCGGCTCAAGGTGGTGGGTTTCTCCGATCCGGGACCGCTGGGCAGTGCCGGGGACATCGGTCTCCCGCCGGACGTCTTCCACGAGCCCGACACGGCGAAAAGCGACTCGGTCAGCCTTCATTCCACGGGCACGGGACACACTCACATCTCCGACACCCACTCCAACACCTACTACATGAGGACCTTCGGACACAACACCATCGACGCGGTTCCCAACATCGAGTTCTACCGGCAGAGCTTGGCGCCCTTCGGAGAGAAGTTGACCAGGCCGTCCCTGTCGGAGCTGCACGATGAGCTGGATAAAGTAACGACATTTTACCGATCTGTAACACTAATCCCGAACTGAAGTGAGCATTAACTCACCAAACGAACTAAAATCCGGGTTACGAACACAAATATTTACAATTAAGGACGCGCAATATTTTCTTTCTTTTTTTTTTTTCAAGATACCGATAATTCGTGATTTCATCCAATCAGGTTTACAGCGGAGTTAATTGGTCAGATTTAAGTACAACTTCTGCTCCTGACGATGAAAGTTAACGATACTAAAAACATCCAACCTACTAACAGAAGTTGATCATTTTAACAACCGAAACCAAACAATTGCGAAATTCAATAATTGACAGTATATTGCTACAGAAGCTACAGAATGTTTAAGAACAAAAATTATATCAGAATTTCTGACGTGAGAGGCCGCAGATTCTAAAGAAACTACATAAAACGGTCAATCAAGTTGAGGTACATTTTACTGCAACCTGTAGATATTCGAATATTTACTTCATAACATTTATAGTTAGAAGCTGAGCTTCAACTATTGCCGTTGCTTCCTTCTAATTTTTCTCTGTCGTCAAGGCAACTGGACTGTCTCAGTTTCCCGGAAGGCTTTCTAGAAAATAAATAAAAAATTCTACTTCTTCTTCTCAGAACTGGATGAGATTTGAGATGAAACTTTTTCCTAGAAACCAAGACATGTCAAGTTGCTTTTTGATGTTGATTTTTGTTTGTTTGACGTTTGTTGGGTTGACATTAGTAAAGACTCGAGAGCCCAACATCAGTGACAGGGAGTGAGGTATTTGTGAGGGCGAGGCCGGGGGGAGGGAGGGGTGAGTGACATCAAACGTCACAGTCTCCACATTAAGACAATAAAGACGTATGTTGTGGTACGTCACACACACACACACACACACACACAATGCTGCCTCTCAGGACAGAGCCGGCGTCTCCGACCCACTCTTCCTGACGTGTATTCTGTTACTACACTGTACTTCAACAGTCATGTATCTGAGCTACAGACTGGGCCACATACAGAAACAAACATCCATTCACATTTTCATTTGCATCCTGGTCCACCAGGGTCACGACCCCTTGGGCGAGTCGCAAGAGCTTTTTTTTTTGAGTCATCTCGCATCATGTTTCCCAGGAGTTTACGAATCACGTCTATTGACTCGGGTGGCGAAGTTTTGCGATTTTGAAAATTTGTGTCCCCAGAAAAAAAAAGTTTGGGAAACACTGACTTAGAGTGACCGACTAACCCAACCCCCCATCTGCGAGTTTCCGATGAAATGTAATACTTAGTAAAAAAAACAATGGGGAAACATGAAAACTTCATACAGAAACACAGTCGCCATCTGCCAATTCCGGGATCAAACCTGTGACATTTATGCTGTAAGGCAAGAGCATAAATCCATCTGTGTGGCGCTGTTTATTATCAATAATTGTTTGAAGATTTTCAAACTTGTAGCAAGATGATGCTAACATTTATTTTTTTCATAAAACCCTGCACTCAAAAACGTATCTTTTTTTTATATAAATATCAGGATCCTTTCGAAGACGGTTTGGCGAATGGGGAAGAGCCGTCTGCCGCGGAGGAAGCTGCAGCAAAGGAGGCCAAGGGGGGAACTGTCAAGTTTGGATGGGTGAAAGGAGTCCTGGTTAGTGCGATGGTCCAGTGTCTCGGTGGTTAATTGGAGTGTTGACCAGTAAAGACATCCAACTGTTGTAACCCGGATTTTCCATCCGGGGGTTCGTAACCTTTTGTGCTTCTCGTTGTTGAAGATTCGCTGCATGCTGAACATCTGGGGCGTGATGCTCTTCATCCGGATGTCTTGGATTGTTGGACAGGCCGGAATTGGTACGTACGCATTCATCGAAGGTAAAGCTGGACTTTAAGGATGGGCTCCAGGGATTTAAGACCTGTTGTCTGTGCTACGTGATGGGCCACGACAGGTATCGTTTTCAACCTGCGTACCATTTTTTTTACACCAGCATCAGGTCGCTGGGTGTGTTTGAGTCACGTATCCTAAGATCGAATCCCATCCAGAATATTCTAAATGGTCAGGATTCCTATCGCTAAGCCACGACATTAGCTGCCTGATCAGCCTATCAGTAGCTAAGGATAAATCAATAATCGTACATGTGTGAAGGCATCTCTTCTTTGAAGGTCTCTTAATTTTTACGTGTATATTTCCGACAGGACTGACCATTGCAATCATTCTGATGGCCACCGTGGTGACCACCATCACTGGTCTGTCCACCTCCGCTATAGCAACCAACGGATTCGTACGAGGAGGTAGGAGTGAAGCGGTATTTGAAATATTTTACTGGAGAACAATGAAAAAACTGCATAGAAAAGTAATTTATACTTTTACAGGAGATCAAAAAACTTGATTGCACCCCTAGTGGCTAGTACTTTATGTCACAGTTCTTACTACTTTTAAAGGTTCCTATAAAACATTGTTTCCTAAAGACTGGGTCGCGACCCTCAAGTGGGTCGCAAGAGAAATATTTTTGGGGGGTCGTCTCGCATCATGTTTCTCAAGAGTTTACGAATAATGTCTATTGACTTGGATCGCGAAGTTTTCTGACTTTTAAAATATGGGTCCCCAGAATATGCTGTTCTGCTATAAATGTGACCTTTGACCTCTAAACTTAGTCAACTGACCCAGAAAGTGTCCAATTACGAGTGGGAAACTCCAGAGAAGGTTTTATCTGGTCTTCAAATGAGAAAGTATTTCACGATTTACAGCCTGTTCCGGGTCTGTCCAGGGGGCGCTTACTACCTGATCTCCAGGAGTCTGGGACCAGAGTTTGGGGGCTCCATCGGTCTGATCTTTGCCTTTGCCAACGCCGTGGCTGTGGCCATGTACGTCGTAGGCTTCGCCGAGACGGTTGTGGAAATGCTGAATGTAAGACTGTCCATCCTCTGAACTGTCCACCAGGGAGACGCCAACTCCAGTACTGATCTCAGTTCTTTCTGGTTTATTGATCGCAGGATGTCGACGCCCTGATGACTGACGAACTAAATGACATCAGAATCGTCGGGACTCTGACCGTCATCCTGCTGTTGGGCATCTCCGTGGCTGGGATGGAGTGGGAAGCAAAGGTGTTAAAAAACAATGGTCTAAAATTTTTTTTTCCGCCTCTGTATTACAAATATAAAGCGTATATCGTTCGTTCACAGCGAAAGATTTGTTCATAGCAAAAGATTCGTTCACAGCGAAAGATTAGGTCACAACAAAAGATTCGTTCACAGTGAAAGATTAGTTCACACCAACAGATTCGTTCAGAGTGAAAGATTCGTTCACAGCGAAAGATTAGGTCACAACAAAAGATTCGTTCACAGTGAAAGATTAGTTCACACCAACAGATTCGTTCAGAGTGAAAGATTCGTTCACAGCGAAAGATTAGGTCACAACAAAAGATTCGTTCACAGTGAAAGATTCGTTCACAGTGAAAGATAAGTTCACAGCAAAAGATTCGTTCACAGCGAAAGATTTGTTCACAGCAAAAGATTCGTTCGTAGTGAAAGATTAGTTCGCAGTGAGTGATTTGTGAGTGATTCGTGAGTTCAATATGAACTCGTGACTCGGGAGTCACGAGTCATATGAAAGACTTGTTCATTTTGAACGAATCACTTGCGAACGACACATCACTAATCTGTACTACGAGTAGAACTGTAGATGCAACTTTCTTTTATTTTGCCAAGGCGACCTACATCAAAGACTCGATATTCTCGTTGAAATTCTTTAACTTCCTTCTATCCGTCTATTCATCAGGCTCAAATTGTCCTTTTGATCATCCTGCTTGGAGCTATCGCTAACTATTTCATCGGGACATTCATGCCAACAGAAAGTAAAGAGCCCAAAGGATTTTTTGGCTACAAAAGTAAGTCCGCAGCTTTTCCTTCCCAATATTTTTGTCGCCTGCGTTAAAGTCAACAACATTGAACTTTCTCACTTGCAGCTGCGATCTTCATCGAGAACCTCGGTCCGGACTTTAGGAACGACGAGACATTTTTTTCTGTCTTTGCCATCTTCTTCCCAGCAGCCACTGGGATTTTGGCCGGAGCTAATATCTCCGGAGACCTTGCGGTAAGTTCGTCTTTTCATGAGAGGATTTGTTGATAAGTTTTGTCGCCCCCTGCTGTCCCTTCAGTAGTTCCGTTGATTTCAGTCCAGGGAAATGAAGACATTTAAATATACTGCTGCCATTTTCATTTGGAATGAATATAGCCTATAGCCTGTGCTAACAGTCTACGATGTCATCCCTCCAGCTGCTTCAGTTGGACATCCTTAAAATGTTCCAACTTTTTCTTCTTCTAAAACATTTGCTTTTTTCAATGTCAGGACCCTCAGTCTGCAATACCTAAAGGAACCCTGTTGGCCATCCTCATAACGGGAGTCACATACGTGGCTGTTGCCATCTCAACAGGTTAATGTTCTATACTAGCATTAACGCTAGCTGCATTCAAGTTAGCAACATTCAAGCCCTGCTCTCTGTCGTCAGGGTCCTGTATCGTAAGGGACGCAACCGGAGACCACAACGACACGGTCATCGACACGGTCAACTGCACCGACGCTGCCTGCACTCTGGGATACGACTTCTCCATCTGCAAGGAGGGCGGGTGTCAGTACGGCCTGATGAACAACTTCCAGGTGACTGACACGCCGACTGATCAAACCGACGAGTTAGGGTTAGCTAACGACGTTTACGTCTCTGGTAACTACTGGAGCCACCGCATATGTTGTGGTTGTACGTAGTCAAGCGACCGAAAAAGGGACATTTTAATTCCGTGGGTGTTTTTTTCTTTGCCTCATCAGAATGTCGAAGAACGTGTGTCGCATACTACGGTGTGACGCTAACTCGAACGCCCACACGGTGACGGTGACGGTGGTGACGTCACATCAGAACACAACACAGTCGTCGGCATACGTCAAAACAACCACGAGTAACGAGAATTTAAACCCGGGGATCGCTGCTTTAAACGTATTATAGTAAATATAAAATTACTATATTTGTACATATACATATATATACAAATATATATTTATATTATACTTTTTAGCCATTATTATATTGGAATTATGAAAAATTGGGACGAAGGTTTTGAGAGGAAAAAAAGTGTTAAAAGTACAAATCTGTCACGGACTCTGAGTGTAAATCAAAAGATGGACAAGTGTGTGTGTGTGTGTAACAGTGATAATGGTGACTGTTGTTTTGAATCACAAGGTTTTCTCTGGCCGGAGACAAAGCTGAATGAGAGCATTGACAACATCCACCTACACACACACACACACACACACACACACACACACACACACATGCGTGTGTAGACGTTCGAACAGATACAAAGTCTTGTTCGTTCCCACTGACACTCGCTGTTCTTTTCTTTTTTAATGGCCACGTTTTGTTGCTTTTAACTCGAAAGGTCACTCCGAATTAACGATGCTAACTTTTGGTTTTTCTCGGTCTCTGAGGCGGCGAGAGTGAGAGCCATTCAAACCGATCCATTTGTGTAACAAAACTGTGGCTCCGTCCGAGTCTGTCATCGTCATCAAAAGTCAACAGGAAGTCCCTCAGATTAACAAAAACATCGCCTTAATCTCCGACGACTAAAACTAGGATTAGATTATTAATCTGCCTGTCGACGGAAGGAAGGTTGAACAACGTTTGTTTTCACGTTCTTCTAGGTGATGAGTCTGGTGTCGGCCTTTGGTCCTTTAATCTCAGCCGGGATTTTTTCCGCCACCCTGTCCTCGGCTCTGGCCTCATTGGTCAGTGCCCCCAAGGTCTTCCAGGTCAGAACCCAGAAATCGAACGGTTGATAATGACACAAACGACCGTCAACTGACTCGTTGACTGACCTCCACGTTGTCGCTCCATAGGCTCTGTGTAAAGACAACATCTATCCAGGACTGGGAGTTTTCGCAAAGGGCTACGGGAAGAACAACGAGCCTCTCCGAGGTTACGTCCTGACCTTCGGCATCGGCCTGGCATTCATCCTCATCGGTAGGGTAGGGTATAATTGAGTTCAATTTTCGTTTCTGCATGATCTCGTCTTGTAAATTTTGCTCGAAATTTTTTTTTTCCAATCTCTGTGTTACCGTCTTGATAGCTGAGCTGAACATCATCGCTCCCATCATCTCCAACTTCTTCCTGGCCTCCTACGCTCTCATCAACTTTTCCGTCTTCCATGCTTCCCTCGCCAACTCTCCAGGTAACTATACTGTACTATACTGTCACGATATGGGGCAACACTACGATATATATAGATATACTGCGATACTATTGTTAGTAAAAATTCAATACGATGCTGTCAAATAGATACGATATTGTCATGTATCAATATTTGTATACAACGTGTATTGTTTATTGAAGAATTACTTTTTTCATTCTGTGATTAAATTTTAAAATCTCACTGTACACTCCCACCACAGGGTGGCGCCCCAGCTTCAAGTATTACAACATGTGGGTGTCTCTTGCCGGAGCGATCCTGTGCTGCGTGGTGATGTTTGTCATCAACTGGTGGGCGGCTCTGGTGACTCTGCTCATCGTTCTGGCTCTCTACGTCTACGTCAGCTACAAGAAACCCGGTGAGGACGTAGTGCCGTCGCATTTCTACTTTAGACGACTTTGTAAATGATCCCCCGAACGCTGTAGAACGTGAATGGTGTTGTTGTTGTTTGCAGATGTCAACTGGGGTTCGTCGACTCAGGCGCTGATGTACAACCAGGCTCTGATTCACAGTCTGAATCTGACTGTGGTCGAGGACCACGTGAAAAACTTCAGGTCAGTCTGTTTTTGTAGTCGTGGGGGGGCAGTTGTCAGTGTGTCAACGGGTGAAGCTGATTTAGACCTGGTTATTTACATATAGATGGCGCTATAAACAAATAATGTTTTTATTTTTGACAGTTTGAACACGTGAAAATCATCACTCACTCGACAAGGGACAGAAAAAAGCTCCGGTGTCATTTTCAAAAGTGCCGTCAATAATAAAAAAAATTGTTTGTCCAATCATCATGCAGCAGAAGCCTGCTGAAAAAATCTTGCTATTTTTCGATCCGGGTCGCGGAACCAGTTGAACGATTTGGCCGTTCTTCGTTCGTAAGCACGACACCAATTTGGAGAATTTCTTCTCCCTGTAGTCACAGCACCAAAATTGAAGAAATCGCCTCGTAGGTTAGGGTTAGGCAGGGAATGAAACCGCCGGTAGACGGTCGATTCGGTAGACGGTTTAATAACAAAACGCCAAAACAAACAGGTCCAACGAGCAAAATGAAACGAAGACTAAAGAAAATCTCATACAACAGTTACCAGTACGCAAAGTCAAGAATAACCGTAATGTGCATTTTTATACCTGTAAGCGGAGTGGTTTTCGGCTTCCCAGGTGTGTGTTTAAATGTCATAGGCCAATGGAAGAGAGAGGTTAGGCCTCTTGTGGCCAATCATATTATTGTTATTGTATCATGGTTGTGCCTGCAGTCACCACTATGTGGCGCTGCTGCTCCATGATTCAGCAGTGTTGGAGGACATATCATCACAGTTTAGAGGAGGCTGAGTTTTCCCGTCTACTTGTTCAGAGCAGTCACCACTGGTTTGTTGGGTTCAGGTGGCACCAGTGCCTCAGATGCTAACAATAAAAGTCGGAAACTTTGTCGAACAATCTTAAATGATATAATAAAGTTATAAAGTTAAATCAACTTAAATAATTTATCTGTTCTTTCACTTTTAATCGTAACAGTGTGCGATTAACGACATGTTTTCACCTTAACAGGCCGCAGTGTCTGGTTCTGACTGGTTATCCAAACTCTCGACCAGCTCTGCTTCAACTTGTTTATTCCTTTACCAAGAACGTGGGTCTCATGGTGTGCGGTCACATCAAGAAGGTAAGTCGCGATAAAAAATATTTTAATATTTTTAAAAAACAGTTCACTTCATGCTAGCACATTTCTAACATTTGGTCACAGCACGTGTTGTTGATGTGACTCAGGTTTCCCGTCGACCGAACTACAAGGAGTTTTTCCAGGATCACGCTCGCTGTCAGCGCTGGCTCAACGCGAAGCGAATCAAGGCCTTCTACACCCCCGTGTTCTCCGACAACCTCAGACACGGAACGCAGCTCCTACTGCAGGTACAAACGATCTGAACGGGTGTTAAAAGTGCTCAAGAGTTTTCCGATTTGTTCAAACCGGATCTTGTTTCTCAGGCCGTTGGTTTGGGACGACTGAAGCCAAACACGTTGGTGATGGGTTTCAAGAACAACTGGAGGGAAGGCGACATGAGAGACTTGGAGATCTACATCAACACCATACAGTAAGGGTGGACACGTAGACTACGCGTGAACGTAGACCGTGGTACGGTTACATGTAAACAGCTACTGTCAAATGTGTTTTAAAAACTATAAATATTTAATATCATCTTGTCATTTTTTTTACTTTTTTTTGGGGACCCATATTTTAAAAGTCACAAACCTTCGCGACCCGAGTCAATAGACATTATTCGTAAACTCCTGGGAAAACATGATGCGAGACGACCCAAAAAAAAAAAAAAAAACTTGCGACCCACATGAGGGTTGCGACCCAGTCTTTGGGAAACAGCGGCTCCCATTTTCAAGGTTATACAGACAAAATAATAAAGAAAATATTCTGTTGTGTTGTCGACTGATTTATTGCAATCAGTCATGAATAATAGCGGTTACAAATTATCACGATTAATCGCGGGGACAACTAACAGCTAACCTGGGACAATCCGACAACCCGAATAAAATTATGTAGTTTGCCTACAGACTATGCTAATGATAGGATTTTTTTTAGCTTCATTAATTTTAAATACTTTTACGATATCTTTTAGAAAATGTAACGAAAGGGGCGTTAGCTTGTAGGACAGTAACATCAACACTTGTATCAATTCACGCAGCTCCGTTAATGAACATTTCAACACAAATGTATTTTTGACGGATTTAATACTCGCGTCTTTGTCGTGTCAATATTGGGTTTTGAGTGTTAGCTTCTCTCGTGACCTTCACATGTAAATGATTACAGTTTACTTGTTTTCTGTCGCAGTGACGCCTTCGACCTGCATTTCGGAGTCGTCCTCCTCCGTCTGCCGGAGGGACTGGACATTTCTCACATCCAGGGACAAGGTGCGTTGCACAACTGCACCTGTATGTCCAGCAGGTACCGCAGCATATTCACACACACTCTCTCACGTTTGTACCATCAGATGAGCTGCTGCTGTCCAATGAGAAGCCACCAGCCAGCAACAATAACCAGGTGGTGATATCAGTCAGTGAAGCCAAAGACTCAGACTCGGACTCCTGTCCTTCAAAAACCACCAGCAACCAGAGCAGCCCCCTCATCATTAGAGGTAACTGTCGGGAAAACTAGCGCACCTTCTAAACACATCGGAGTTTTGTTTTGTTTTTTGTTGAACCGTGACCCTGTGTGTGTGACATCAGCTGCAGAAACCAAAGGTCCTCTGAGTCAGACGGAGAAGCGGCTGTTGGAGTCCAGTCAGCAGTTCAAGAAAAAACAGGGCAAAGGAACCATCGACGTCTGGTGGCTGTTTGATGACGGAGGTGGGGGAGGCGGGGGCTTAATTCCTGACATCATAATAATCAATTTAAGTATCAAAAGAGTCAAGTTTTGACCAGTGATGTGAAAGAAAAAACAAAACACGAGAAAAACGATCAAATGTTTCAAAGATGTCGTTATAACTAATTAAAGACTTGTTGGTTTTTGATATGTTTTTTCTGGTCCGACCCCGTGTTATTCCCAGGTCTGACTCTACTGATTCCGTACCTGCTGACCAACAGGAGTAAGTGGGGTGACTGCCAGATCCGGGTTTTTGTCGGCGGGAAGATCAACCGCATTGACCACGATCGCAGAGTGTGAGCGAACAGTTAACAGTGAAACTCAATCCGTCACGGAAACATGGAGACTTGAGGGAAAACAAAAATGGAACTAAAGTCTATTATTGTCATTGTTCTGTCGTCCATCAGGATGGCCACGTTGCTCAACAGATTCAGGATCGACTTCTCCGACATCATCGTCCTTGGAGACATCAACACCAAACCAAAGGAAGACAAGTATGAACCAGAGCAGTGTTTAGTTAGCGTTAGTTAGCATCAGCATCTTAAAATTCATGTCTTCAACATGGGGTTAACAGACACCTTAGGGGTCTGCCCAGGTACTGCAGGGACTTTATAAAACATTTGGTTAATTAGATGTATTTCCGTTACCGGGTCGCGGGGGCAGCAGTCGCCACCCAAATCACACTGCACCGTACCAAACCCCTAAACCTTCCTGCGGGTGGTGAGTCTACTGGAAGGTACCAACCGCCCTAACCGGGATTCGATCTTGCCCAGGAGGTGAACCCTGGGGTTCTACACCAATGACATGAGACATTGCTTCTGGGCCAAAGCGCCACCTATAGATGTATTTCCCTCCTGTAATATCCACTAATTCATCCTTAAATACACATTACTTTGAACTGTTAAATGAAGTTATCATTGATCGTATTTCTGTCACGAACATCTTTGTTTCCATTTGCGCAGTAAGCGGATTTTCAAGGGACTGATCGAGCCGTACCGGCTGAAGGAAGACGACATGGAGCAGGAGGCTGCGGAGAGGCTGAAGGCCCAGGAGCCGTGGAGGATCACCGACAACGAACTGGAACTATATAAGGCCAAGGTCGGTGGAGGTTTTTTTTGTAGTGCCGCACTCTGCTTGTACTCAACCGTTCCGTTTTCCGTTCACGTTTGTGCTGCATGTAATTTCCAGACCAGCCGTCAGATCAGACTGAACGAGCTGCTGAAGGAACACTCCAGCAACGCCAAGCTCATCGTCATGTAAGGGCCTCACATCCATCCTGTCTGCTTGTGTTTGTCTCCAATAGGCGTTTTTCAAAAAGTTTCATCCCGCAAACTTTTGACGTTAACAGTTAAAGTCTTGAGTTTTGGGAATGATTGGTTTACAGAAGTATGTTTTGTATAATGGCCTCACAGATGTAGAAAAGTGTAGATAAAGGGGGACCGAGACTCACCCCGATCATCAATGGTACCGGCGGTAAATGACGATAACGTCCTTCCTCCCTCTGTTGAAGGACCATGCCGTTGGCGAGGAAGGGAACGGTGTCCAGCGCTCTGTACATGTCCTGGTTGGAAACCCTGTCCAGAGACGTCCCACCCATGTTGTTGGTCCGAGGAAACCACCAGAGCGTCCTGACCTTTTACTCCTAACACACACACACACACACACACTGTCACGTACAAATGTTCACGATCAAACTTTTGTGTCTGCGATGGAACCGCTGCTGTCAAAGTGCTTTTAGCCCAGTTTTATTTTAAAGTAAAAAAAATGTAAGTTTAGTGTCATCAGTCAATGTAGACACTGTTGTTTTGTTTTCTCAGTAACAGGCTGTAATTTGTTTTTGTTTTTTGTTTTTTTAAAGATTGTGAAGAATTAAAAAAAAATCTTAATAAAAATTCTTAATATAGTAAATTAATTCGGAATTATTTGCAAGAAAATAGGATGAACGTATAGTTCTAGAGTCAGTCGTGGTTTTTTTTGTTTTGTTTCGAGATTATTGTTATTGGATTGCATTTCTAATACTTCTAATTCGTATGTGCATTTAATCTGTCTCTAATCTGTATTTATTTTATTTTTGTCCTATTGTTTGAGGATATTTTTCTTCTCTGGTCACGGTTTGCTAAATATAAGATTTTAGAATAAAATGTGGAATAAAATTGCAATCGTTTATTCATGTTTGTTTTTGTTTTTTGTTTTGTCAAAATGTAAAAAAAAAAAAAAAGAAGCGCATGTATTTCGTGTGGTCCCAAAACATGTCATGGGAAGACCGACTCTTTTTACTGATTCGGATCTTTGACTCTCGAACAGTAAAATGAAGGAGTCGTGAACGAATCTTGAACTAATCATTTCATTCGTTTTACAGCAGGTGGCGCTTTAGCTCTGTTGTGGGCGGTTCTCCGACACTACATAAGGTAACATGGTTTGCTTCCGCTGACAAAGTCTACAAAGTACACAAAATGCCATAAGTAATTAAAACCATGTGAAAAGCTAAGAAATAAAAACACACCACAATGAGAAGATAAATGAAAGCAAAAGAGACCCGAGCTCTCTCTCACGTGACAAATGAAACGAATCTGCGAAAACGAAGCGAAAGATTAGTTCGCAGATAGTGATTCTTTCATAGTGAAAGATTCGTTCACAGAGAAAGATTCGTTCACGGCGAAAGATTAGTTCACAGAGAATGAATCGTTCATAGTGAAAGATTAGTTCAGAGCGAAAGATTAGTTCACGGCGAAAGATTAGTTTGCAGTGAGTGATTCGTGAGTTGAATATAAACAAATCATTCATATGACTTGGGAGTCAGGAGTCACGAATCTTTCATGTGACTCGTGACTCCCGAGTCATTCGTTCATTTTGAACGAAACACTCGCGAACGACACATCACTAATATATGACGTTTTCGTTCATAGACGCGGCGAACTCGAGAGACACAAAAAAACAACAAAACCTACCGATGTCAATATTTGCAAATGTTTGTTTACCAAAAAAAAATTGTCATATCGTGTTTTTAAGAAGCAAATCTGACAACGTTTAGACTCAACCAATATGGCGGCGAAATGACGCATTTTCCTTCCTGCTGTGGTTTAGGTCCTACACTGTCAACATCACACGGAGATCTTTGCTCCTGTTGATGTTACGATACGTCGCCCTTGAACGCGACGCGTCGCTTTTTGCCCTACTGCGTTCCAAAGACGAGGCGTGAACGAGTCGGAATTTATATATTCACCGAACCGAGACAGTAAGTATCGATGTTGTTTTTCCAATGACACCAAACTTTTAGAAGTATCAAAAAAGTATCACTTCCGTAATATCGGCCGATACAACTCGGTAATATTAGTGACCGCTGTTGGAGACCGGATGTGGGGTGATTACATCGTTGTGTATAACGTAAAGTAAAAACCGTAACACATCCCCGCAGAACGATGAGTCTCCAGATCAGCGCGAAGGAGGAGATGGTGGAGAAGTTTCTGGATTCTTCGGCCAGAGGAGACCTGGCCACGGTGACCGCACTACTGTCCGGGGCTCCGTCACTGATCAACCGGAGAGGAGACAACGAGTGGACGGCACTGATGCTCGCTGCACGCAACGGACACCACGACGTGGTCAAGGACCTGCTGCTGCGTGGGTACATACAAGTACATACAAGTATACTGTAATAACTGTGGACATACAGTCTACGGATTTGTACTGCAGTAACTGTACAAATGACTCTGAAGGTATGAGTACTTTTGTATCCCGGGATGGATGGATGTTTCTTTCACGCTAAAGATTGAGTACAACTCAAGTAGTAAAGGTTAAAAGGTTTATTTGCTGGGGTCATCTGTTTGCATTTAAATAGTACTCCCCATACTACCCAGAGTACTATGGTGATAGGACAGCTCAAGATTCCATAGATCTCTTACTGTTACTGTTTTACAATTTTCTACCTCGTTTATTGTTGGTCTAAAAAGGCTACTAAAGGCTAGCATGTTTCCTTAGCTCCTTAGCTAAATGGATTTTTTTTTTTAATATGTGTTGTGCGTATATTAGAACATGGCCTCATCATCTGTCTTTTATCTTCTATCCCCCAGCTGTGACAAGTCCCTGGTGAACAGTTCTTCTCAGACTGCCTATGATATTGCTAAGTTCTGGGGTCACAAACACATCTCCACCCTGCTGACCCCGGTAGACGACAGAGGTCAACAGATACCGCCGGGCTTCGAGCTCCGTACGCAGGAGCACTACTTCGGCAGAGAGACACTGGACCGGCTGAGTGTGAAAAGGACAGACACGGAGTGGCTGGAGGCCAAACAGAAGAACCCAGACAGCGTCTATCTGCTGTTCTCCAACCTCATCCCGATGGTCAGCAACCAGCCGGGCGACGGCGAGGAGGTACGATGCCCAGTGTGGAGTTTGCTTTTCATGTAGTCGTATATATACAATAAAACTGGAATTGTTTTAGTTTAGTTTCAGTCGACAAAATATCATCATCATTTAGGTGTCTTGATCGGCTCTCACCCTCTATGGCATTGTTTCCCAAGACTGGGTCGCAACCCTTAGGTGGGTCGCAAGAGTTTTTGGGGGGGGTTGTCTCGCATCATGTTTCCCAAGAGTTTACGAATATTATCTATTGACTTGGATCGCAAATTTTTATGACTTTTAAAATATGGGTCCCCAGAAAAAAAATAAATTTGGGAAACACTGCTCTACGGTTACTCCAGTTAACCCATGGCTTCTCAAAGTGTGGGGCGGGGAGTAAAAAATACAAACGTAATTTGTGTTTTGGTCGGAGTGACGGGGGCGGGTGGGGCTTGAAAATCTGCAATCGTTCAAATTTGGGAGTGACCAAAAAAAAAAGGTTGAGTACCACTGGGTTAACATGGTGAAATCAACATCTCACCCAATTTAAATTTCAACCCTAAAATTAAATTAACAAGAGTCAGAGTCAAACGTCAAACCAGAAGATCAAATCTTTTCACCAATACATTTTTTTTTACTTTGATTTAACAGTGTGTTATTGTTTAACCCCCGACAGGGCGAGACCAAGCTGTATCTGCTCAGGTACGAGGCCGTCCAAGATCTCCTCCAAAAACCCGAGACCGTTCTCATTTTCTTAGGAGTGAAGAGAAGGAACATTTCCTCCTCTCTGACGGACGTGAACGTCGAGGAGCTCCCGGCTTGGTTCGCCATCTCCACGGATGAAGACACGGCTGAACTTCTTAAACGCTGCCCGGAGAAGAACTGCTGCTTCCCAGAGAAAGCATTCAGAGATCTGCTGAAACTCTCGGAGGAGGACGCAGGTGGGGGAGTACGGTCGGCGTCTTCGTTAGAAAGTGATCTGAAGCTAGCTCTAGAGCAGTGATTCCCAACCACTACCGCGCCGCGGAAAATTATCCAATGTCACTTAGTTGGGCTGAAAACTATGATTTATTTATTGAAAATATATACATATTTGTGAGGGTCTTTCTTCAATTATATATACCGGTATATCAGTCTTCAACTAAACAGGAGTTCCTTTTTTAGTACATTTTCAACAACCACTATTATCAACAGGCAGAGCAATTAAATCCTTCTCCACTAGGTGGCAGCAGATGGTAATTGAAACTAAAAAAAAGAATCATCAGTGTTGTTGAAGATCTTTCTTCAATTCCTGTCGGTATATCAGTGTTGTCTTCAACTAAACAGAAGTTCCTTTATTTTAGTCAATTTAAACTAGAACTCAAACTCAGAACTGCTCCGCCTCATGATGTCAATCCTGTTTTCAAACATCAGGAGTCGTGGCTCAGGCTCGATCTGTGCTGGCCTGGCACAGCCGTTACGGTTTCTGCCCCACGTGTGGCAGTGGGACCAAGATGGAGGAGGGAGGGTACAAGAGGAGCTGCCTGAACCCAGACTGCAGGAGCCTGAACGGGGTTCACAACACCTCCTACCCACGAGTTGGTGAGAAACCCCCCCATCCCCGACTACCCATCCCTCTGGACAGTTTACCAGTTAATCTCAGTACCATTTGTAGAGAAACTACCATTCACACTTCCTGTGTGTTTTCAGACCCAGTTGTCATCATGCTGGTCGTCCACCCTGACGGAAACCACTGCTTACTGGGAAGGAAGAAGATCTTCCCTGCCGGACTGTTCTCCTGTCTTGCCGGGTTCATAGAGCCGGGTAACACAGAACTGACAACAAGTCCTGACATAAAATAGTCAAAGATAAAATACCTGACCTGAACTCTTTGATTGAACGTTCCCGTAGGGGAGACGATTGAAGACGCGGTGAGGAGGGAGGTGGACGAGGAGAGCAGCGTGAAGGTCGGAGCGGTGCAGTACGTCTCCTGCCAGCCTTGGCCGATGCCCTCCAACTTAATGATCGGCTGCCTGGCTGTGGCCACATCGACTGACATCAGAGTGGACAAAAACGAGATAGAGGAGGCTCGCTGGTTCTCGCGGCAGGAGGTCAGGAGACCGAGTCCGGAAAGCAGACGATAGGAGGATAATTAATGAGAGTTAGATGAATAGAAACAACTGATAATTATCATTAGAACCGCGCACTCACCTATTTGTATGGTTGGCCACAAGATGGCGCTGAGGTTTAGTCAGGCCAAGGAGCAGCCGAATATAACATTGGTACAAATTAGAACATAATAATAATTTTATTGGTAAGAATATATTTATATATATTTGGTAAGAATACATTTTTTATCACCTTTCAAGACATTTAAGGGCATTTATATAGGTGAAATAATAGAAATAAAAAAATATAAAACAAGTGAATAACACTGTCCCTCCAGAGAGTGAGTTTCTTCTGTTAACTTTTTTTTTTTTTTTGATGTAGATGATCGACGCCCTTTACAGAAAAGCAGCCCCGGTCCTCACCGTCCCCCCGAGACAGACCATTGCACATCAGCTGATCAAACACTGGATTGGTGTGAGCTCCAACCTCTAGGCTGCGGTGTCGGTGTCCAGCCAGTGAACCAGCTGAGAAAGACAGACCTCCAAAGAACAGCAGGGTTCTTCAGGAGATTCTTCCGAAAAAGAAACAAAAAACCAAATCAGGAGAACAAACTGGCTTCAGTCTTTGTCCTGAAGGTGGCAGCAGAGAGTGGTGGCAAGTTGACGAAGTGTGAGCGGAAATGTTTGTAATAACTCGGTGATGGAGGCCTACGTAATACTATCTTGTGGTGAAGTTAAACACCGTGGTAGATCTCAGATTTTCAGTTCTCAGACCTTTCAGAGACAGATAAGACTCTCGCAGGAAGTGAAACCCGGGGCATTATTTTGCAGTTCATTAAACAGAAGGAAAGAAGTGAAAAGTCTTCTTATAACACCAGAAAAACAGATGGAATTAAAAAAACAAAAAAACAACACAAATCTCAGAAAACCCAGTGTTTTTAAACACTTCATGAAACTGTAATTATATATAATACTACATTTTACAAATGAGCTGGGGAGGGGCAATGCTGCCACCTATATTTCATTGGAGGACCTGGGTTTGATTTTAATGAAATATTGAAAAAAAGTGTTATTTTACACAAATACTGTATAAAAATTCCAATTATTTAATAAACAACTAAAACTGCATTTTTAATAATTTCAAACTTAAAAATAAATCTAAACTAAATTGCCTAAAGGGTAAAATATAATTAGAGGGCTCAAACAGTGACCCAGGGGCCATCTGTAGCTCGATTTAAATATTTATCTTAATTTATTATGACAACTAAATAATTTTATTAAGAAATGAGAATTGTGTTGAAAATAAAATGTTTAAGATGGTTAAAATCAACGTTTGTCGTTATTCTGTCTTTGACTGTGACCTAAAGGCTTAAAATTATACACAAATACACTTCTTATTACTACAACTAGTTAGAACATTTTACACAATTCCATTTTCTCCTCAGTAATGGCCCAAAAAACCTTTTCACATGGCAAAAAAAACTTTGCTATTTTAAAAAAAAATTGCAGCTCAAGCAGAAAAGCTTCAAATGAAATACAAATAAAATCTAATATTTCACCTTAAAAGTTGTTTGTTCATTTTAGTTCAGTCCTGGTACAGACACCAGAGCTAACGTTAGCTACAACAGTCCTGGTACAGACACCAGAGCTAACGTTAGCTACAACAGTCCTGGTACAGACACCAGAGCTAACGTTAGCTACAACAGTCCTGGTACAGACACCAGAGCTAACGTTAGCTACAACAGTCCTGGTACAGACACCAGAGCTAACGTTAGCTACAACAGTCCTGGTACAGACACCAGAGCTAACGTTAGCTACAACAGTCCTGGTACAAAGAGCAGAGCTAACGTTAGCTACAACAGTCCTGGTACAGTGTATCCAGTCTACAGTGGACCAGGTGACAGGGTTCAGAACCAGGTCTTAACAGCAGTAATTGATTCAGTCGTCCAACAAAATGTATTAAATTTAAAAAGTCATTGTGTGAAATACTGCACTGAGGAAAACGCTACAACAGTCTTGGTACAGACACCAGAGCTAACATTAGCTACAACATGTTGTGAAAACACTGTCATCGCCGAGTGAGCGTTTTATAATGTGAAAAACAGCGCCCCTCTAAATGTTATGTGAGCGTTGAAAACATGGTACTGCACTCTGTTGTCTGTGAGGTGGCCTGAAGTTTTCCTCATGCTAACAACTGAAACAGAAAGAAATGCTAAACACTGTGTCCTCTATGGAACTTTGAAGTAAATGTTTCCCTTTTTTTTAACCTGATTTTCCATTTTTGCCTTTTTTTAGCCTTACAATATAAACCAAATGTGTGTTGCGGCCCTAATGTGTTGTATCCTCTGGATCCATCTTCATAGAAGCCTCAACACCAAGGCAACTGTTGGCAATATAATCGGTCTCCAAGACCATAGGAGGAGACACTGTCTGTCCAGGCGCATCTTCATGAACACTTTCCCCCAGGAATGAAGAGTTGAACACAGACTCGTAAATCAGGGATCCACCTCCGGGATGTTGTAGAGACGTCTGTTGTGACCCCTGGAGGTCAAGCTGAATATTGTTTGGTTCTTTCTGAGGAAAAGCGATGTAAGCTTTGTCCACCTGAACCTGCAGAGACATGTTGGCTTCTGTCTTCTCGGACGTCAAACTGCAGGACTGGTCGGCGTTCACCTCCAGGTCTGGACGGTAGCTTGGTGGTTTTTCTGCAGTAGGCCAAGATTCGGTAACATACTCCGAGTCAGATGTAATGACAGTGTGACAGCAGGGGGGAGGCAGCAGAGCGGTGTCTTCGAGTAGGTCTAGCGACGAAAGGCGTAGCAATAAAGTTGAAGATCTGTCCACGACGACACTCTTCTTCGTCACCTCAAAGTCCTTCATATCCATGATGTGTCCCTTCGATATCTGTCCAGAGAAAGAAACAGAAAGAAATTAGAAAAAAAAAAATTGATATAAAGCTAATAAATACAGATGAAAAAGACGATCTCATAGAAATACAAAATGTTTCAGCAGGTAGTACGTAAAATTATCAACCCCCTATCAAGTGATAGAAGACGGATGGGGATTTGATCAAAAACAAAAAAATTAAAAATGAATTTGTCACCTCCTGCTGGTGGTTTTTCTCCATTAGCCACTGTCCTGTTCTGCTGTTTTGTGGGCTAGAGATGTAGGAAATAAAGTAGATCTTGTACCTGAAAAGGTCAATAAGGTTAGGACACTCTCTTGTTGACTACTTTTTTCCGCTACTACCTTTGATAGTCCATCAGGGCTACCTGGTGCCTTCGGGCACTACGTTGGAGACCCCTGGTGTAGAAATTAAATGTGAAATCTAATGTGGACTCACACAGTTCTGGACAGGATGCACACAATGAACAGACAGACGGCAAGAAGGAGCAGAGTCACCACCAGCTGAATGTAATCTGAAAGGGCGACACAAGTGTTTGACGGCAAACGGAAGCATTTATATATATATAAAAAAAAAATTCAACACATCTGATATTTGATCCTCATTGGTCCGCGATGAGATCCAGTAGAACTGACTCACCAAACTCTGTTGTGATGGTCTTGATGTCCTTGGAATCGTCGCCCGCCAGTAGGTGGAGATAATACAGGGTGTTAGGCGACAGGCTGGTGAACGTGTGACGGTGAGCGTCGTCCGGCCACAGCAACAGAACGTGGGGCTTCTCTGTGTTGACAGACATTGTTTTAATGTAAAACCACACGTCTGGGTTCTGTTCGGGGGCTCGTAGTGTTGACCTACGTTGCCTCGGCGGGATATCCATCAGCTCTAGTCGGTAACTGCCCACTTTGTCTGAGGTGGACTTCTTCTGCCACGCCCACTGGACGGTCACTGACCTTTTGTTCACAGCGACCACCATGAGATCGCCCACCTCCAACAGAGCTGAGGAACGCAGAGAGTCACAGTTACGTTTCATTTTTTCGGTACCGTATTTTACGGACTATAAGTGGCACCAGCCAAAAATTGTGTAGTGAAGAAGAATAAAACCTATATAAGTTGCTCCGGAGTATAAGTCGCACCAGCCCGCTAGAGGGCACTATAGCAGCTGTCAGTGTGAAAATAGCAAACGTACCTTTTTAGAAGTACAGGAGTAGCAGATGCTGGTACACAAGCTTAGAGCACCCTCTAGCGGCTGTCAGTGTAAAAACAACGAACATGTACATTTTTAGCAGTACAAGAGTCGCAGATACTGGTACACAAGCTTAGAGTGCCCTCTAGCGGCTGTCAGTGTGAAAATAAACATGTTGATTTTTAGCGGTACAGGAGTAGCAGATACTGGTACACAAGCTTAGAGTGCCCTCTAGTGGGTGTCAGTATGAAAAAAAACAAATGTAAATTTTCAGTGGTACAGGAGTCGCAGATACTGGTACACAAGCTTAGAGCGCCCTCTAGTGGTTGTCAGTTTGAAAATAACGAACGTAAATTTTCAGTGGTACAGCTGTAGCAGATACTGGTACACTAGCCTAGACTTATAGTCCGGGAAATACGATAATCGCTTTTAAAGTTGATGTGGGATCTGGAACCGAACTCAGCGGGCCATCGGGTCAAGGCGGTCAGGGGTCACACCCTGGTCAGTTCTTCATCAACACAGGGCAACAGAAAGAGACCGACAGCCATTCACACAAACATTCACACCTGTGGTGAATTTGGAGTGAATAGTTAAAGTGAATTGGTCTTTGGACTGTGGGAGGGAAACACACCTGCACATGAGGACGACATGCAAACGCCATACAAAAAAAAACAAGGAATCAAACCAGCAACCTGGTGACAGCAACTGTTTACCTCCCAGCTGCAGAGTGGCAGACAGAGACTGAGGAGGTCCACACTGCTGCTGATCAACTGTGGCCACACTGATGACGTAGGTCGCGTCCAGGTCAACACCTGTCAGTACAACAACAACAGGTTTCATGTCTGAATTAAAGGGAAAGTCCCACTTCATTCCCTTCTCTGCTCCACAGGTTTTCATGGTAAATTAGGTGCCGCAGTCTGCAATGTTTTTTGTTTTTTTTTCCACTGCTGGAGGAGCGGCCGTGTTGTAGATATTATTATAGATTTGTTTTCTAGATTGTGGAAGTTCACGTCCTCAGCTATGAGGTGTGTAGAAACGCGATTCTTTTTAAAAACGGTAAGAGGAAATGTCGCAACGGCCGAGAAACACGCACAAACAAGGAGCCACATGTTTTTAAATGCACGCAACTGAAAACAGTTTGTTTTTTGCTTTTAAACAGTTGGTGTAAAACATTATGAAATGTAAGGGAAGGTCTACAAGTTCCAAGACAGAAAAAACATACAAATAAAAAAAAATTAAATAAATATAATATAAAAATATTTTCTACATTAGGTTTGAGTGCTAAACTTATCAGACATCACCGCTGAAGTCGGCTTCATAAATAAACTGTAACAGGATCGTGTTTGTTTTACCTATGCACAGTAATAATGAGCACGGCCCCAACGGCCTTTCGCGCTACTTCCAAAGTGAAACCGACTTCAAACACAGAAGTGAGCTTATGTTTTCGATCAAACTAGTCATACTACGCCACCTTCTATGACGAAGGATGCGTTGGCGGAGGCGTCCACCATGGCCAAGCGCTTGGTTGATGGTTGGTTTTCGTAGTGCCACATGACCAGATGACTCAACTGTGGGTCAGAGGTCAGGTCCCAGGAGGATTTCCATTGGACCAGCAGACTTTTCTTCACAGGGAAAAAACTTGAAACCCACAGGTTTCTGACGGGAGAAAGATCTGATGTGGAGAAGAACGGAAAAAAAAAAAACCAACTGCTTGTACTTCATGTTGAACAGAAAACAGCAGCTGATGTTTCACCATCACGATCACAATTCGCTTACTCTTCCGTCCTCGAGTGTCGATGTCGAGACGTGTCGTGGGCCCATAGCCGGCTGTGTTGAAAGCTCCGACGGTGACCGTGCAACGCCCCTCTTTCACCTCCAGGACTTGTGTCAAATCCGTAACATTGAGAATAAGCTTGCCCCCGGGATGCAGTGCGGTCAACAGCTCGTAGACCACCTGGTAGCCCAGAATGCGAGGCGATCCTGGAGGTCCTGTAAGAATCTGCGGACCCAGGAAGTAACAATCAGCTGGAATAGTGCGTACAGTTGATGTCAATGTTTGACTAAGACATACAGTAGTGAATGAAACATGTCAAGGTGTTGGGGAGATATTTCAGTTGTTAGTTAAACAATAACTCGTCCGTAAGTACTTTAGGCTCAGGTTGAAGTAAGGTGAGACATCTTCAACTTAAGAGGGTCCAGTTCTCAAACTTCTAAGGATGAAATGACCTGCATTTATTTTCTCTAGTATGGGTTAAAGAAAACACTGATAACTAAAATATCGCAACATTTCATTTCACAGTACTGTATCGATATTTTGCAGCATCTGTATCAGATGGAACAGCATTGAGTCTTTACTATGATGACACTTTGACTACAATTACATTGTTTAAAAAAAAACCCTCCATATATATCGTCGTGTCTAGAATATCGCAATATATCGTATTGTTGCACCTTCATTGTGATACGTATCGTATCACCCTACTTTCTGGTCTGTGAAGGACATCTCATTTTCCCGGATCCAGATGGAACCAGAGGAGTCGTCGGTTTGTTGCAATACGCCGCCTGACCATTGGGTGTCACCAATTCTTTAACCCAGTATTAACCCTTTAACATTTTTAACATTGTACCTTCCACATGAGATGAAGGAGAAGAGATCCAGAATGTGTCTTCTCCGTTTGGTAAAAAACTTCTGGGGACCTGTAGGGTACTGGTAGAAGACAAAAAAGTAAACATTAAGAAGGTGGTTCTCAAAATGAGGGGCACCCAATTTTACAGCTGTGTTTTACTCAATGGATGAATGATTACCTTTGTCCCGTGTCCTTACGGTGACATCAGAGCTCCATTCACTCCAGACACTGCCTCTGCAGGCCACAGCTGCTTTGTAGGTGGTGTAGGGCAGAAGGTTTTTAATTGAGTAAACTGGTATTTGTTTTTGATATGTAGAAACATAACCTGGTGCCTGCAGAAAAAAAGAAAAACAAAACAGTAGTATTTGTAGTGATAAGATGTCACGGGGCAGAAAGATGAGGCTCTATCTCCATGATTCCCAACCTCTGTGTCGTAGCACACCAGTGTACCGTGAGAGATCTTTTGGTGTGCCGTGTAAAACCCATTTTTTAAAATGTGATATATTGCAAATATTTTTTCTTTGTTTCGCAATGTGTAGCAGGCAGAACAATTAAACATGCGTCCGCTAGGTGGCAGCAGATGGCTGTGAAAACTAAAAAAATCTTTGTCTTTCTTCAATTCCTGCCAATATATCAGTATTCTGATCAACTAAACAGGCCGAGATTTTAGTGAATTGTGAGTAAATTTAAACTAGAAGATTATTATACAGTGGTCCCTTGCTATTTTGCGGTTCATCTTTTGCGGATTCACGACTTTGCGGGTTTTTGAAAACTGTATATATAAAATATACTGTATCCCGGATTTGGATCTGCGAGAGATGTCACAGGAACAGAATAACAATACGTTTTGATCGGTCCCATTTAGCAACAAAATCGACGACGTCGTGACTGCCCACAAGCTACTCTTCGACTGGAAAAAGAAGCAACGGAACCAACTGCCGATCGCAATGTTCGGCAGCCGGTTCCTGCTACTACTACTACAGATACACCTTTGAAAACCGTGGAAGAGGTGCCCCAAGAACTGGCACCACCCTCTGGAGAGACGTAAAATCAATCATCAGCTGCACGGTAAAAGTCATCATCACCTTCCTTGTCATCATTTTACTGCGCATAAAAATGGTGTCACTACTTTGCGGAAATTCAGTTTTCGCGGCAGGCCTTGGAACCGATCAACTGCCATAATCGAGGGACCACTGTTTTTTTTTTTACATATGCTTTTTGCGAGACTTTTGTTTGATGGTGTGCCGTGGGGTTTCTGTAATGAAAAATATGTGGCACGGCACAAAAATAGCTGGGAAACACTGCTGTATCTGATTCTCTTTCAGAAGCTTTTGCACCAATAAAATCAGACCAAATCCTGTATCATGTATACCAGATATTAGCATAAAGCTAATATCGGACATCTCTTAACCTTTTCGTGGGCCAAAGACAGGGCCTGTTTGGTGGTTAAACCTGAGCTCTCCCACTTTACAGGGTCAACGGTAACCAGACAATAACAGTGTGACAACCTGAGACCAATGAAGGCTGCTGTTGGCTCGGAAGCGAAGTCGACATTCCATATTAGGGCTGCTGGTCCATGACACGGCAAAAGAGTTCTCAGTTGTGTTGCGGACAGTCACTTGAGGCTGAAGAGGTTTGACTGAGGGAAGGAGACGAGAATAGGCTTAGCCGTCATCACGTGAATATGTTAAATGTCACATGACGAGGTCCCGTACCTGTATCGCTCGAAATCCTGGTGTGAGACAGAGATATAATCTCCTTGCCATTCATTCTGTTCTTGATGTGGGCTGTGACGTTTAAGTTTTTCAATTTGATGACCGTGCAGTCGTAAAATCTCGCACTACTAAAGAATGAAAACAACAACAACAACAAAAAAACCCAGAAAATAAGCTTAATTGTCATGATGTGATTCCAACCAAATCATAATCTACAGAGTCATAGGCTGAATTCATCCACTTTTACCTCTTCAAGACGACAGTGACATCAGGTGGAGAGAGAGGGTTTGTGTCTAGACTCAGCACACACGTCATGGATGTGTATTTGTTTTCCGTATAACACGAGAGATCCACATCTTCTACATCGACACAACAGGAAGAACAAATCGGTTTTCGGAGCATGAGAAAGCAACAAAATTATCTTGCAACTACTCAAACTGATACAAAACTAAAAACTTTTTTTAAAGCTAATTAAATATAGCAGGGGTTCCCAAACTTCTAAATGCCAAAGCCCCCGAAAACAGCACTAGCTTCTGGGTCGGGACTCCCTTTTGCAAACCCACCGACAATGCTAAAACCAAGCTGTCATACAAGATGCATTGAGGTACCATAGACAAAAACGATAGTAATAATGATCAAAAATAAATTTCACAGCAATTTAAAAGAGAAGATACTGTATGTGTGATCAGCAAAATTCTTCTGATAGTGTGTACCCACTCTGCATGGACGTCAGTGGGAGACCACAGACTGTGGTACTGGTGACACAAACTTTGTTGTTATCACGGCAGGGCATCAGTTCTTGTGTTGTCACTGTTATCACTGACAACACAAGAAATAAGATAGAGATGAACTGACGACATCGTACAAAACACATCTTGTAACATTTACAAATGATGAAACTTGGATAATATCTGCACCCATATTTACCCAACACATGTGAATTTACATCAGGTACAATGTAATGTAAACAAAAATAAAGTATTCATTTACAAACATTTATATGTCCATCCATTAATGTTACTCATGTACAGTTTTTTTTCTCCAAAAATATTTCTGTGATATACTCATCTAAGCTATCAAAAAACATGTTTGTGTCACAAACAAATATTACCAGAATCAGTGATCTGATACAAGTCCAATGAGTTGAACAGACAGACATATAACTAACTAAACGTTTGTCAATGTTTAAGTTTGAGTTTTTAAAGTTAGCCACATGCCACAATAAAACATGAAGAAAACTTACCCAGTGGGGAACCAGCAGCAGCAGCGATCTTCACTATCATCACGACCAGTAAGGTACGAAGTGGAGGAGAAGCCATGACCACAGTGACATCTACAACAGAAAACACAATTTAAATTAGTTTCAGATGAGAGCACCATTTAAACTGTGTCCTGAGCCCAGAGCCAGGATGTTGCTTCATCGTGTGTGTGTGTGTGTGTGTGTGTGTACCTGTCACTTCAGAAACTGCCTTCTACCTTCCTGTTAAAATTTCAGTAGCCACACAATTTACAGGAAACTTGACAATAAATATATTTAAGGTTTAAATGTCACAAATTAAAAAAAATCCAAAAAAGGTGTGGGCTTGAGAATTAACCCTGCTGACAAAGTGAATTGAATAACAATAATTGGAATTGTGTAAACGTGTAAAGTGTAAAAATTACTCATCGTGTGATTGTGGCTGATTATTTTAGATAAAAAAGTACCGAAACAGAATTTAGCTAAAAATCTGTGTCGTTTAAAAAAAACAGGTAAATGTTTGTTATATGGAACATTTTAGAACCACTAGTTTAAGAGAAAATATTATTATAGATATTGTATATTATAAAATGCATTATTTCGATGTAAAACAGGTTTGATTTCCACCATAAATGTGGCTTAATAAATAAATACGGTGGCAAAAATTAGTATGGCTTCAACGATTGACGGTTATAAAAATATATTGCCAAAAATAAATAAATAACAAAACTAACTAGATGTTACTTGGTGCTAACCGAAATGTAAACGTTAAATAAAATAAAGCTGTGCAAATCAAAACATATTTAAGATGGCGGGAAACGTCCTACCTCGATTCTCAGCGGCGGCCATCTTGATAAATATAAATCAATCGACGTTAGCGGCTACTGGCCCAGCAACTCAATTTATTAGCGATTATCAAGATTCCACGTAGTCTGCCACGTTTTATCAGCGGTTCTCTCATTCCCACAGATTACGTAATAGTGATATGTCGTTCGCAAGTGATTTAGTGATGTGTCGTTCGCGAGTGATTCGTTCAAAATGAACGAATCTTTCATATGACTCGTGACTCCCGAATCATATGAAAGATTCGTGACTCGTGACTACCGAGTCGTATTAAATATTTGTTCATATTGAACTCACGAATCACTCACTGCAAACGAATTACTCG